AGGCTACACTGGCCATGGCATGGGGTGCGGCAACACTTGCCATTGTTTACAGTTCGTACTATCGCACTGTTCATCACTGCTGAGTAGCGTTGGCTTGGGGCTTTGCAAAATTCTAACTACGCAACTGCATTTGGCATCGTCTTCGAGCCCTTTCACATTCCAAACACATAAATAGTTTCAGAGGTCTCATTATCCATTACACAAAGCACAAAATAACTATTCAAGGAATGATCTTCGGTTGAGTGCACATTGGTAATTGTTAAGTGGAGGTCGGTGGTGGTGTAGGCAAGGGCGATTGGTGGGAGGGAAGGCACATGGGCTAGACGAGGCGAGAGATAACATTTTAGGATATCAGTTCGAGGGATCACGCCTTGCTATCGTCCGCATCCCGCGTGGCAAAATCGGAGGGATGAGAGGTAACGGAAGAGCGAAGTTTGTAGGAGTCGTGGTTGGAGAGTTTCATCACCTAAATGCAAAGACAGAAGAATCGACAACTAAAATAACATCACACGCGAAAACAACACGTTGTGGTTGTTCTTTTTCCTTGGGTAAGGATCAAGTTGAATTCCGCATCACTAGCCAAGGATCGAATATGAGGGGAGCAGCTCTAAGATCCCCCGCACAGAGTCACCTTTCAAGGAATGATCTGCCAGGGAGTACACATTGGTAATAGTTAGGTTGAGGTTGGTGGTCGTGGATGCAAGGGTGGTAGTGAGAGCGAAGTGTTGGCTAGCTGAGGTGAGGGAGAACAATTTAGGATCTCAAGGTGATGATCACACTCTGCCGCCGTCCACATCACATGTGGCAAAACGTTAGAGATGAGAGGCAAGGAAAGAGCGAAGTTTGGAGGAGTCGATGTGGGGGTGCTTTGTTACCTAATGCAAGGGAGAAAAGGATTGTCAACCAACACAATGTGGCACACGACAATACGTTTGTCCAGGAGCGTAGCCAGGCCCTAGGCTACACTCACCATGGCCTGGGGTGCGGCAACACTTTCCATTGTTTACAGTTCATACCGGAGCACTATTCATCATTGCTGAGCAGCATCGGCTTGGGGCTTTGCAAAATCCTGACTATGCAACTGCATTTGTCATCGTTTTCGAGCCCTTTCACATTCCAGACACATAAATAGTTTCAAAGGTTTCATTATCCATTACACAAAGCACAAAATCACTATTCAAGGAATGATCTCCGGGGAAGTGCACATTGGTAATTGTTAAGTCGAGGTCGGTGGTGGTGTAGGCAAGGGCGATGGTGAGAGGGAAGGCACATGGGCTAGACGAGGCAAGAGATAACATTTTAGGATATCAGTCCGAGAGATCCGGCTTTGCTATCGTTGGCATCCCGCGTGGCAAAACCGGAGGGATGAGAGGTAACGGAAGAGCGAAATTTGTAGGAGTCGTGGTTGGAGAGTTTCATCACCTGAATGCAAAGACAGAAGAATCGACAACTAAAACAACATCACACGCGAAAACAATAAGTTGTGGTTGTTCTTTTCCTTGGGTCAGGATCAAGTTGATTTCCGCGTCACTAGCCAAGGATCGAATATGAGCGGGAGCAGCTCTAACATCCCCCGCACAGAGTCACCTTTCAAGGAATGATCTGGCGGGGAGTACACATTGGTAATAGTTAGGTTGAGGTTGGTAGTGGTGGATGCAAGGGTGGTAGTGAGAGCGAAGTGTTGGCTAGCCGAGGTGAGGGAGAACAATTTAGGATCTCAAGCGGTGATGATCACACTCTGCCGCCGTCCACATCACATGTGGCGAAACGTTAGAGATGAGAGGCAAGGAAAGAGCGAAGTTTGGAGGAGTCGATGTGGGGGCGTTTTGTTACCTAATGCAACAGTGAAAAGGATTGTCAACTAAAACAATGTGACACACGACAATACGTTTGTCTAGGAGCATAGCCGGGCCGTAGGCTACACTGGCCATGGCCTAGGGCGCGGCAACACTTTCCATTGTTTACAGTTCATACTATAGCACTGTTCATCACTGCTAAGCAGCGTTGGCTTTGGGCTTTGCAAAATCCTGACTACGCAACTGCATTTGTCATCGTCTTTGAGCCCTTTCACATTCCAGACACATAAATAGTTTCAAAGGTCTCATTATCCATTACACAAAGCACAAAATCACTATTCAAGGAATGATCTTCGGGGGAGTGCACATTGGTAATTGTTAAGTTGAGGTCGGTGGTGGTGTAGGCAAGGGCGATGGTGGGAGGGAAGGCACATGGGCTAGATGAGGCGAGAGATAACATTTTAGGATATCAGTCCGAGAGATCCCGCCATGCTATCGTCCGCATCCCGCGTGGCAAAACCGAAGGGATGAGATGTAACGGAAGAGCGAAGTTTGTAGGAGTTGTGGTTGGAGAGTTTCATCACCTGAATGCAAAGACAGAAGAATCGACAACTAAAACTGAAGGAAATATGCCCTAGAGGCAATAATAAAGTTATTATTTATTTCCTTATATCATGATAAATGTTTATTATTCATGCTAGAATTGTATTAACCGGAAACATAATACATGTGTGAATACATAGACAAACAAAGTGTCACTAGTATGCCTCTACTTGACTAGCTCGTTAATCGAAGATGGTTATGTTTCCTAACCATAGACATGAGTTGTCATTTGATTAACGGGATCACATCATTAGGAGAATGATGCGATTGACTTGACCCATTCCGTTAGCTTAGCACTTGATCATTTAAGTATTCTGCTATTGCTTTCTTCATGACTTATACATGTTCCTATGACTATGAGATTATGCAACTCCCGTTTACCGGAGGAACACTTTGTGTGCTACCAAACGTCACAACGTAACTGGGTGATTATAAAGATGCTCTACAGGTGTCTCCGAAGGTACTTGTTGGGTTGGCGTATTTCGAGATTAGGATTTGTCACTCCGATTGTCGGAGAGGTATCTCTGGGCCCTCTCGGTAATACACATCACTTAAGCCTTGCAAGCATTACAACTAATGAGTTAGTTGTGAGATGATGTATTACGAACGAGTAAAGAGACTTGCCGGTAACGAGATTGAACTAGGTATTGAGATACCGACGATCGAATCTCGGGGAAGTAACATACCGATGACAAAGGGAACAACGTATGTTGTTATGCGGTTTGACCGATAAAGATCTTCGTAGAATATGTAGGAGCCAATATGAGCATCCAGGTTCCGCTATTGGTTTTTGACCGGAAATAGTTCTAGGTCATGTCTACATAGTTCTCGAACCCGTAGGGTCCGCACGCTTAACGTTTCGTTGACGATATAGTATTATATGAGTTATGTATGTTGGTAACCGAATGTTGTTCGGAGTCCCGGATGAGATCATGGACATGACGAGGAACTCTGGAATGGTCCAGAGATAAAGTTTGATATATGGAATAATAGTGTTTGATCTCCGGAAGGGTTCCGGAATTCACCGGAAGGGGTTCCGGATGTTTCCCGAAATGTTTCGGTACGAGAACACGTTATTTGGGCCAAAGGGGAAAGCCCACAAGGTTTTTGGAAAGCGCAAAAGAAAGTTTTGCGGAGTCCAGGGGCCAGACGCCAGGGTCCCTGGCGTCTGGGTCCAGACGCCGGGAACCCTGGCGTCTGGCCTTGGAGTCCGAGAAGGACTCTTGCCTTTCGGGTGAAACCGACTTTGTGGAGGCTTTTACTCCAAGTTTCGACCCCAAGGCTCAACATATAAATAGAGGGGTAGGGCTAGCACCAAAGACACATCAAGAAACACCAAGCCGTGTGCCGGCAACCCCGTCCCCTCTAGTTTATCCTCCGTCATAGTTTCCGTAGTGCTTACGCGAAGCCCTGCGGAGATTGTTCTTCACCAACACCGTCACCACGCCGTCGTGCTGCCGGAACTCATCTACTACTTCGCCCATCTTGCTGGATCGAGAAGGCGAGGACGTCATCGAGCTGAACGTGTGCAGAACTCGGAGGTGCCGTGCGTTCGGTACTTGGATCGGTCGGATCGTGAAGACGTACGACTACATCAACCGCGTTGATAAACGCTTTCGCTTAGCGATCTTCAAGGGTATGAAGATACACTCCCCTTCTCGTTGCTATACATTACCATGATCTTGCGTGTACGTAGGAAATTTTTTGAAATTACTACGTTCCCCAACAAAAACAGCATCACACGTGAAAATACATTTCATCATCTCTCGGCGCTTGCACATTGTAGGACAAGAGAATTTTTTTAAAGGTCTCACTATCCATTACGCGAAGCACAGTCACAGTGTAAGAAATGATTTCCGGGGAAGTACACATTGGTAATGGCTAGGCCGAGGTCGATGCTGCTCCAGTGGCTAACCGAGATGAGGAAGAATGGGTTATGATCCATGGCGTGATGATCTTGTCTTGCTGCCATCCACATCACGCGTGGCTAAACCAGGAAGATGAGAGGAAGGAAAGAGCAAAGTTTGCAAGAGTAGTGGTGGGAGAGTTTCATTACCCCGATGCAAGTGACCGAAAGAATGGCAGCTAACGCAACATGGTCACAACTCACACGAGAACACATTTGCTATCGTGTCCCCAGCCCTTGAGCATTCTAGGAGAACACATAAATACTCGTAGATGACCTAATTTTATACTAACTTTAGTACAAAGTTGAGTCATCTATTTTAAAACTGAGGGAATAGTTTTAAAGGTCTCACTATTCATTGCACGAACGAGCACCAGACCTGAACTCAAAAGAAGTGTGGTTTCTGAGTTGAGGGATAAAAATTGGACGCTGTGAAACAATTTAACGCCTATAGGTGCATTTCACTCGAACAAAAGCGTTCTCTGAGGTTATTAGTACGTGATGATTGTTCACAGCACGATCGGCCGTAGGCTTGAGAGCTCAGACAGTGGATGTCGCCTGCAACCATTTTCCCGTCGCTCGACGATGAAACACTGATAATTTACACACTACCAGCCCGCCCCTATGGCCTAACTCTCTAGGCCCACGCAAAGTCCATCCATCCACACGCATGCGTGCGTACCGAATCCAGCCCATTAAGCATTCGACTTCGGTGCGCTAGCCGCCTCAGCGTCACCTTGCGCGACGCCCACGCGGCGCCGCGCCACCGCGTACGCTAGCCCGAGAGCCGCCAACACCACCACCGCTGCCCCGACGAACACGCCGGCCACCACGCCCTCACGGACAGCTCCGCCTCGTCGAGCCGTGTTCACGGGCGCCACGCCCCCTTCCTCCTGGTCGGCCCTCGCCACGCTCGCCGCGGACGCGCCGGCGCCCCGGACCACCGCCCCCCTCGGCTGCCCGCGCGGCGCGAGCTCGGGGGCGCCGGCCACGCGCTGGGCGTGCTCACTGGGGTGGAAGAACTCGTACGCCGCCGGCGACAGCGCCAGCGGGCTCTCGAACGGCAGCCCGTGCGGGTGCGCCTCCACCGGGCGCCTCTCCTGCGCCTCCCCGGTGGGCAGGAGCAGCAGAGAGAGCACCACCAACGCCGCCATCGCCATGGTTTTTAGCCAAGCTGCGTGATCTTGCAGGTCACATGAGTGTGCAGTATGCATCTTGCGCACCCCTTGTGTTTATATAGACGAAGAGCTAGGTGGAAGAGGTACGCAAGCGAGCAAGCAAAGGCTGTGAGGCTTTGCTTCCACGTCAATTCTCGTAGTGGCGAGGCGAAAGGGGAGCAGAATGATGAGGAGGTGCGGAGCGATGGAATGATGTATCGGCCTCTTTGATCAGCTTTACAAATGCAGGGGATGTCCATTAGTTGTCCAATGCACCACAGGATATGATCGAGAGAGTGAGACACAAACCTTAACTTAATGTTTGTTTACTGAGACTGGCTAGAGGCAGAGGCTCAATGACAGCTTTCCCAACAAGTATTTGAGAACACTGTTTATTCTACTGGACGCCTTTCAAGCAGCTTTCCGTTTGCTTTACGTGCGCTTTCGGGCTACTAATGATGGATGCATCCTTTCCCTCGCAGATATACAAAACCGACCAAGAACTTGCATAGATAGGTAGAGATATATATATACTATACTAACATCATATATTCATATTCGATCAAAACTGCTTGAGATATCAATTCATGTCTGAAATGCTTAATCACCCAGCTTCATCCTCATATATACCACCCTGAAAAGTGAGAAACATGCACAATCGATTTCCTGAAAGGCTCCATTCGCCTGCAGGCTGCAGAAGTGCGGCAGGGGCATGATTTGCAGCCCCCGATCCGTCGTCGTCGCGGCCCATCCAGCGGTGCCGGATGGCCGATACGTACTCAAGAGCAAGGCGCACGCACCGGCGAGGAGCCGGGAGCAATTGAACAGGCGTGCGAGCGGTGCCTCCATGCCCCCACGGTACCGTCGCCTTTCCTCATCCATCTTTAATTTACGCCCAGGTGAATGGCGCCTGCGGCCACGGGGGGACCGTGCATCCCCAGATGCTATCATGCAGAACCTGCATGAATGTACTGTGTAGTGGCGCCACAGGTTGCAACTTTGCAGGGCCGGGATCAGGAACAGAATTTCGAAAACTTGCGGTTCAAAGGCGTGGGTAGTCGCCTCGCCTGGTTGCCCGGACCCCGGAGCCGGCCATTCAACCGTATCCTCTAAATCTTTGTTAGGTCCGGCCATTTTTATTTTAAATGCATATCAATATTAGACTGGTCATACTATTGCTCAGATCCTTGGAAGCACACAACAAGCATAGGTCATCAAGTCTGCTCTCATGGCTTTCTCTGCGTTCTAAGGGCTCAATATTAATTTTCATAAAAGTACCCTTGTGCCAGTTTCAGTGGATGAAGCTTCAGCTTCTGCTATTGCTCAGATCCTTGGATGCCCAGTTGCCACCTTCCCATGTACATATTTGGGTCTACCTCTCTCCTTGCACAAGATAACACATGGTATGCTGTTGCTGCCTGTTATCCATAAGGTTGATCATCGCCTCTCCGGCTGGTTAGCCA